AATTGAAAGAGAAGGGAGAGGAGAGAGAAGAAGAGGAGAGGAAATGGGGATTGGAGGCGGAGAGAACCAAGATATTAGGGGGTTTAGGGTTAAATGTTTCGTTTTTTTTTAAAGGTTGGACCGGTTCAGTGGAACCGGTTCAAACCGGTGCCCTTTTGTATTTTTGGCACCAGTTTGAGCTGAACCGATGCCATTAATCTTGGTCTAAAATCCCGCGCATTTTAGGGCGGTTTTTGGCACCGATTTGGTCTAAACTGGTGCCATTTGGGGGTTGTCTTTTTGTATTTTTCCACTAGTAAAAAACTATTTTTTTCATTTTCTTCTTCTTCTTCTTCTTCTTCTTCTTATTATTATTATTATTATTATTATTATTATTATTATTATTATTATTATTATTATTATTATTATTATTATTATTATTATTATTATTATTATTATTATTATTATTATTATTATTATTATTTTATTTTATTTTAATTTATTTAATTTATTATTATTATTATTATTATTATTATTATTATCATTATTATAATTATTATTTAATATTATTATTGTTATTATTATTATTATTACAAAAATACCTGAATTTGCGTGTTGTTATTTTTTTTTACGGAAATTAAGGTTTTGGGGGTCATTTTTACCCTTAATGGATCCATATTATGCTCGGAATTCGCAAAAAAATAATGGAAATACCTCGTTTTTCGTGTCGAGGAATATCTCCATTTGCGTATTGTTATTTTTTGTCATGGAATTGTCCGGGTAAGGTTTTGTGGGTCATTTTTACCCTTAATGGATCCATATTAAGCTCGGAATTCGCAAAAAAGTAATGGAAATGCCTCGTTTTGCGTGTCGAGGAATATCTCGATTTGCGTATTGTTATTTCTTGTGACGGAAATTGTTTTGGTAAGGTTTTGGGGTCAATTTTACCCTTTATGGATCCAAATTAAGCTCGGAATTCGCAAAAAAATAATGGAAATACCTCGGTTTGCGTGTCGAGGAATATCTCGATTTGCATATTGGTTTCGAGGTCATTTTTACTCTTATTGGGTCCAAATTCAACTCGGGATTTGCAAAGAAAATACCCAGTTTTACGTGTCAAGAAATATCTCGATTTGCGTGTCTTAGCTACTTAAATATTTCTCGACACCCAAAACAAGGTATTTTTGTTTTTTTTTTTCAAAATCTGAGCAATTTCCGTCAAAAAAATAACAACACGCAAATTGAGGTATTTTCGTAGACTACTACATTTTCGAGCAAATGCAACAGCCACAGAAGATCTAATGCAACGGTTATTTCATTTCCGTCGCATTAGAAAAATCTAATGCAACGGCTCATTCTAATAAATGGCTAATGCAACGGATATTGTAACGACTTCAATGTGCCGTCGCATCAGATAGGCTAATACAAAGACATTGTAGGTTAATACAACGGCGCTTGAAGTTTTAGGTTTGCCGCCTCACTACTTTCCCAAAAATTTGAAATCCCGCCCCAATCTAATAATTAAAAATAAAACCCATTTCCCTCATTACGGAAGAGTGGCTACTGCTTTTTATTATTCCCAATCGGTTCACATGGTTACTATCTTCTCCATTTTCAATATCAATTGTTCTTCAATCTCCACTTAATACTTCACAAATTAACCTTAAGTTCAATTTTTGGAGTTAACAACCAGGACACGGCGACTATAAGGCAATGGAGAATGCACCATCTATCTTCTATCACCCTGAATTCTATGTTGTTGGCCGGAATCCTCTCTCGATGTACTCAATTCAAAGTTGTCCCCATTAATGTCGTCGTCCCGCCAACAAACAATACGTTTTTGAGAAATCATCCAAAATATGTGTAATTCTTCTCAATTTCTCTCTCATTTTTTGTTGTTGTTATGTGTTTTGAGGTTGGAATTTTGGGTTTTAGTGTAATTTCTAGGTTTTTGTTAGTCTAGAATGAATAACCATTTAGCCGTTGCATTTGCTATAATGGTCGTTGTATTAGCTATATTGTCGTTGTGTATTAGATATATGTGGTTGCCGTTGCATTAGATAGATAGCTAATGCGACGGCTAAATGGTTACCGTTGTGTTAGGTCTATCTGTCGTTGCATTAGAGCTATTGCCACGCCAGCAGATGTCACGGTATGAATCCGTTGCATTAGGTCTATTGCGACGGATTTTGGGCCCTGTTGCAACGGATTTGAGCGTTGCATTCGCCCTTAAATGTAGTAGTGGTAATAATAATAATAATAATAATAATAATAGTAATAATAATAATAATAATAATAATAAGAAAATAAAAAAAATTATAAAAAAATATTTTTTTGTTAAAAAAAATAGTCGCCGTAATCCGGGCACTCTTGGCCGGAAAATTTCTTGTATGGTGCTAAGTGCACCCATGCTAATACTTCAGGGTGTTTTGGCTATTTTTCTTAGTTCAGGGTGTTGAGTGCACCCAAGCTAAAGTTCAGAGTGTTGAGGCCAATTTTACCATTTAATTAAATTAAATTGTGTCGTGCTGTTTTTTCTATTATACGTGTTTCAAACCCTTGACACTAACCAAATTGTTTCATGTCCGGTTTGTTTATTGTGTCGTGTTAGCTTTTGCCATCTCTAATGGCTACTGATATTGCTGTTACTACTACTAAAACTGCTATTATTGATTTGAGAACAATCCTTTTGAAATTACTTATACATAAGAGTTGTTTCTTTTTTGTTTTACAAAATTCAACATCTTGCACTTAGATTGAATAAGAGAAATATCTAATTCTAGTTTCATGAAATCAACATAGTTTTTACGATCAATGTGCATGCGGTCCAACTGTAATTTGGAGAAGATAATATCTTATTTTCAATTGAATTGGAATGTAGGTAATTTAACAAAAATACACAGTACAATATGATAATGTGACCCATAATATATTTAATGCATGGTTGGTGCATCTAGGTGCACCATGTGCATGGTGTATTTGGAAGGAATATGAAGTATATTTAAAAGAAGGGCAAAACGAAGAACATTATAAAAGAACCCGAACATAATATGTTTTTTGAGTTTGATCATTATGTTCTTTGAGTTTGAATTATATATTCTTTAATATTTTTACATAAAGAAAATTTTAAATTCAACCACTTGAGTAGCCATGAAAATAAACATGTTATTTAATGTATTATCATGTCCTTTTTGTAAATACTTTATGTTCTTTGTCAAACACAAACATGTTTTTTTTTAATGTATTATCATATTTATTTATTTATTTATTTATTTTTGTAAAGAATTTATTTCTTTGTCAAACACAAACATGTTTTTTAATGTATTATCATATTTATTTATTTTTGTAAAGAATTTATGTCTTTGTCAAACACAAAAATGTTCTTTTGTCAAACATAGGGTTCTTTTTCAAATACATTCAACCACCTGAGTAACCATGAAAATAATTTTTTTTAAAAATATTATCACGTTCTTTTTGTATAGACTTTATATTCTTTGTAAAGTTAAACACAAACTTGTTCTTTTGTCAAACATATATATGTTCTTTTCCAAACACTAGTATTTGTTTTTTTTGTTTTTACCCATATTGATTAAAACATGCCTTATGTTCTTTTCGGCTGCATGGTGCACTGGGACTTTGGGTAGCTGAACTTAAATATGCGATGACTCATGAGGATAGTCTAACTTCATAATTACTGGCCCTATTGCTATAATCGCTACTGTAGCAACTTATTTCTTTATTCTTATAGGTGGTAAAATTTTGTAAATTAATATATACTATTTCCATAATATATTATGAATTTATTTAATAGATTACATACAAAGATACAATAGTTACAACCAACCTTACAATAATAAATTAATATTTATACAATAATGAACAAACAAAGAAATTTTAAAATATATGATACTAGTATATGTGATATACGTTTCATACTTTCATATTAATGCAGAGGCGAAACTATGTAGGTGCATGGTGAGACACGTGACTCATCAGCAAAAAAAAAAAAAAAAAAAAAATTAATTTTTTTTTAAAAAAAAAATATCAAAGAGACCTCCTATTATAGATAGGCGGTCTCTTTGCTGCTATTGCCGCCTAGCACTTTGTCAGATTTTTTAAAATAATAAAGAGAATGGTTATTTAGATAACATGTCTCTTTTCTGCTGACATTGTATATGAATATTTGTTGCGCTGCTTTTTTTTTTTCATTAAAGAGACCTGTTATATTTAATAACAGGTCTCTTAAGTTATCTCACTATTTTATTTTTTTTTATTTTTTTTTTGTGTACTCCGTATAATTTTTTAATAATTCTTGTATAATAAAGTTAATTTAATGTAATAATTTTATAGTATTATTTGTTTGTAACATGTTATTTATTTGGAATACGTACTTTCGACTTGTAAGAATGAATTTTTAAGTACTATTGTAGTATGGATTTTTATGTCCTATTTTTTGATTGAAATCATTTGGTGAAATATATTTTTTTATATATACATATATGTAATTTTTGGATTGAAACAAGTGATCAGTTATTGATGGTGACTCACCAGTTCGAAAATTCTGGATCCGCCACTGTATGAATGGTTTCCATAATCCTATAGTACTATTGTAATAAAATTGTTTGCTGGGCCAAAACCTCTAGAATTATTACCAAAGCTTGATATAGGATCCATATCATGTTCCTAGGCATTGTATATTGCCAATATGGCAATAAAAAAGGGAAAAAAAAACGATTATTTATCAATAAGTCTTGTGTAAGGCTGGTGTATATTAATTATATTGTAAAACGGTTCATTTAAGAATAATTTTAACTATTTTTATGGTAACTTTAACCCTTTAAAGAGTAATTTTTTAATTTGTCGTTAGTTTAAATTTTATTTTAATATGTAAGTTTTTACACATTCATGATTACATACTATAAAGGCTAATATGACTAATCTAATACATTATAAGATTTTTGTAAGATAAATTTTATTATTTGAAAAATAATAACTTTTGTAGTACAAAGGTACTTTTAACATAACTTTAACTATAGCCGTCTTACAATAAATTAACGTACAACTGTTTTTTTTAGAGAACTTTTCTTATGGATGAACTTGGAGCATCTCCTGCAATTCCTTAACAAAAACATCCATTTTAGACGGAGGCAAGGAAATGGGCACCATAATCATAGTCTCCCCTTTCTTGTTCTTAAAGGATATAAAGAAGCTTGCATCCGGGACCGAACCATTACTTGCCGGCCCTCCGAAAACCGGCTTCCCCCATCCGAAATCAACGTCTGCAAACCCTAAATGCCTAAGGTCCGACACCACGTAAGACTGATGCACGGTAAATTCTGGCCTATCTTTTGTTACCATAAGGTCCATAATAGATCTCATATATTCCTCATTCACTTCATTTTTAGTGTTCCTTATTCGTTCTAAAATAAATCCAACTTTGTTGTTACATATATCCCCTGCTTTAGCACAGATAGCCGGAAATGCACATGCATTCCCGTAGTATCCCTTAGCTAGTGGAGGATTAAATTTATTCCTCGCGTTCACAGCAAAGAGTAGACGTACCTCTTGACCAGGGTCGAGTGTAAGGGCTATGGTTCGACAACGCCACAAGGAGGCACATATGATGTCGAAGGAGGAGAATTGTTTAGTTTGAGGAGCGACATGGCGGCGTAGGGCAGCAAGCTCGGTAGGTCCAAAGAGGAAGGACTGTTGGATTAGCTCGAGTTGATCATTGGATTGGTGGTTGATAACTTGATGTTGGTCGTACTCAGGGTGGGGAAAGGTGACTTTTGGGGAGTCTCTAGCAGTTAAGCGTTCGCGATCCCAAACGGGGAGGATGGTTGGGGTGGCAAAGCCCCTCCCTATCTCACCTATAGCGTTCATTAGCTGCATTATGCCACTACCGTCGTTGATAACATGGTTTACTCGAAGGGCCACTATGAATCCTCCGCATCTTAGACGAGTTACCTATGTATCACATAACATGGAAAAGCAAGTGATTTTTTTTTTATTAGATATTTTAAATAGTTATAAAATCAATGGAAATAAGGCTATGCAACATATTAGGTCATTTGGATGAAGAATGGTTGTAAATTACCAATAAAACTATATGATACCCCGTCCTTTATAGATTTAACTAGATGAACGGTTTGTTTGATTTTTTTTTTTTTTTTATGAGCCTAAAATTTGTTATATATTTAGATAAAATTCCTAATATTAAAAGATAATATATAATATTTAATTAATTTAAACTTTAAAATCTCATTCGCCAATTTTGCTTACATGACATTTAAATTATTTAATTATAAAAAGAAATTAATAATCTTATATTTAATTGGCTACTATTAAGATTCATAATCCTACATGGCGCGCTGAGAAAATTAAATCCTACGTGGTTCTCTAAAAACACGGGAAAAAACTCCCCTTAAAATCACATACTATAATATATACAAATCTATCAACTCAATATAACTTTTTCTTAGATCAGTTTCCCTCCTTTTCCTACCAACTAACCCTTGAATACTTGTTTTCGTGCTACCACGTAAATGATTTATATGTTAATAAAACACAAGGTAGGTTGGTAACTCAATACAGCTTTTCATAAAGTGAAAAACATAATGACGCAAATTTTCAAAGATATGGGAAATACTACACTTTCAATCATTGAAATTATCACATTACAATCAAATAGCCAGCTTATAAAAATTTTATTAAGTAAAGGGACTATAGATATGGATTAATATCAAGTACCTGGATTATTAGCAAGGGGGTGCCAAGCATTCCATTAGTACCAGGAATGTCATAAAGCAAATCCTCCAAAGGAAATGGAGGATGAATTTCATCTCCAAAATCTTCAAGCATTGCATCCGCCCTAGCCTCGATGAAGGGTACACCCTCACCCGTGCACTCGACACTTAGCTTCCTATTCGGCCCTTCTACTAACCGACCAGCATAAGGGTAGAAAACCACAAGAGCCTTAGCCAAAGCATCCTTTACCACCTTCACCGGGTATTTCCCCTCCATGGAGGGATCAGCCCTATAAAACATTATGCCCGGCATATGGAATCGAAGACCCTCTTGGTCATCAATATCCGAGAGCGGTTTTAGCTCCCTTGGTGTAGGCTCAGCCGGGCACACTAGCTCTGGCTCGCCTCGTGTTACGTTTAACACTAGGGGAGTCATATCATGTACCATAAGAGCCATATTAGTTGGTCGTCTAGACGTCAAATAATACTAATAATCAAGCTTAATAGAGGTGTATGAAATGAAATCTATGAGATTATGAAGTTGTAGAATATATGTTAACGTCCATATATTATTTATAGTATAAAGATTGAAGCATATTCTTAGATCGACCACGTGATCAAGCAAGCAATAATTTTATAGATTCAATTAAAGGACATAGTATATAAATAAAATGGACAAATTTCGTCAAAGAATTGAAGGGCGTAAGGAGGTGGCTAACAAGCAACTCTCATTAGTTAAAGAGATAAAAATGGAACAAAACTGGATAAGTACTACTTCGTATAAAATAGAAAGACCTCGAGCGTTGGTCACAAAATAATACTATTTTCATTTCATTTTCTTTGTCGTGGTTACTATTTATTTGGTCAAATTTAAAAACATTGACCATGATTGAATTCACTAATATTCATTGAAAAACATAATGTTTTTTTTTTGGGTGAAAAATATATTGCGGAACCTTCTTAGTCGACGAATAGTTCTAAATGTTAACTTATAAAAATTTAATATCATATTATTTCACTAATAAATAAAGTTGGTCTCGCAGCTAGACCATGAAACAACGATACTCATTCCAGTTATTCGCCAAGTGTCATGCCATGTAGGCAAAAAATTAGTATTATTATAATACATATGATGCTAAGTAAGCAAATTTTGGATAGATTTTTTAAGAGAAAAATATTTTATAGAGTTTTATTATCGATATATACTTCAAATATTTTATCTGTACAAAATTAATAATAACTTTTAATAAATATCCTATAACTCGATTCTATTTCCATTATAAAATTATTTTAAAATTTCTTTAAAATAAGATCCATCAATAATATATTAATTTATTTTTATAAAAAATAGTGAACATTGCTAAAAAATACTTTCAATTCAATAAAAGTAATTTAAGTTCAATAAAAATAATCTTTTAACATTTTAATATCATATTATCTCACTAATAAATAAAGTCGGTCTCGTAGCTAGACCATGAAACAACGATACTCATTCCAGTTATTCGCCAAGTGTCATGCCATGTAGGCAAAAAGTTAGTATTATTATGACACATGTGATGCTAAGTAAGCAAATTTTGGATAGATTTTTTAAGAGAAAAATGTTGTATAGAGTTTTATTGTCGATATACTTCAAATATTTTTTATATAAAAATTAATAATAACTTTTAATAAATATCCTATAACTCAGTTCTATTTCCATCATAAAACTATTTGAAAATTTTCTTTAAAATAAGATCCATTAATAATATATTAATTTATTTTATAAAAAATAGTTAACATTGCTAAAAAATACTTTTAGTTCAATAAAAGTAATTTAAATTCAATAAAAATAATTCTAAGTTAATAATAACATAGATATATTTAAGGATTTTTTTTTAAAAAAAAATAACACCACAAATTTTACAATAAATGGATTATAACACCACAATTTTTCAAATTTTTATTATAACACAACAAAAATATAAAAAAAAAATTGATTTCACCACCATCTAACGGATTTTTAGATGTAATCCGTTAAAGGGACCCACGATGGACACGTGTCGATAAGACGGTTTAAATTTTTTTTTTAAAAAAAAACCCTAACCTAAACCCAGCCAACTCCACCACCAGCACCACCTTCTACAGTCGCGTAAACGCCTAACCCAAGCCGACGGCGTCACCTACCTCCCCAAAACCCGGCGAAATTCTCCCTTCCCTTTTTCCCCATCCCCGAAAACCACCCCAACTCTACTTAACCGCCACAAATCACCTCATACCCACTGCAATTAACCACCTACCACAGCAATCACCAACCTCGAAAACCACCCTTCCTTACCTTTCACCCTCAAAACGGCCGAAATCGACCATGAAAACCCTCGATTGGTCGGTTTTGGCCGCCAATTTCGCAAAACTAGGGGAAATGGGTGTGGAATTTGCGGCAGATCGGGAAATGGGGTGGATTTTGCGGCGGTTAGGGATGGTTTTTGCGGTGGTTTGGAGGGCTTAAGGTAGTTTTCGGGGACGGAGAAGGGGCAAAGTGGTGGATCGAAGGTCAAAGGGGTTGGTTTCGTCGGATTTGGTTGGGGCAGTGGATGCCAGCGACAGTTAAGGCAGGTGGTGTAGAGATGGTGGGATGGCTAGGTTAGGTTTTTTTTAATATTTATTTAAACCACTAGACACTTGACACGTGTCTTGTACGGGCCCCACTAACGGATTCCATCCAAGAATCCGTTTCATGGTGGTGAAATCCAATTCGGATTTTTTTTGTGGTGTTATATTTAAAGTTTGAGAATTTGTGGTGTTATTATCTATTTTTTGTAAAATTTGTGGTGTTATTTTTAAAAAAAAAATCCTATATTTAATTTATTTAGAAAAATAGAGAATATACTTCCTCTGTTCTTTTTTACTTGACCTGTTTCTTTTATCACGCTTGCCAATACAAAATCTTAGCGATCAATAACTTTAATTCTACATAAGTAAAAATTATAAAAGTTGTATATTACGATAGTACTTATTGAGACGAATTAAAAAGGATATCATATGAATATATTTTTCCTTACATATCATTCACAAAAGACGGTCAAAGGAGAGGTGGTGAATAGTGTAAAAGTCAAAGCAGGTCAAGTAAAAAAGAACCGAGGAAGTATAAAAATAAGTTCAAATCAGTAAAATAAATATTAGTTTTCTACAAATACTCTCACTTCAGTATAAATAATTTAATTTCAATAAAATTAATTTCAATTAAGTCAAGAATAACATAGATATTTATTTACAAACAAAATTACAAAAAGTACACTACTATATAAATTGTTGGAAATAAAGAAAGGAAATTTAAAGGGTCAGATATGGGCGTCCGACCAAGCGAGACCCGCCCAATCGGGCGCGAGAAGAGTCGTAAAATTCTGGAGTTCCGCCGCACGATCAGGCGAGATCTGCTCGATCGGGCGCCTGACCTAGCTCCCGACTGGACGCAAGAAGACGTTTGGAAAAAAGGGAGTGAGCTTTCCCGATCGGGCGCGTGTTTGTCCCTTGGACTCCTATGGTTCCCTTGGATTCCTCTTCTTGTTTGATTTCTTATAACCCCCCATTTAAGAGGTTGATTATGGTGTTTTAAATCACCATAATATTTCTGATTTATCTTTTTTGTTCATAGAAGATTCCTCCATGATCTTTCATCTTCTTCATTCATCTCTGTAAATTGGAGGATGTTTTCTGATTTTGATACACACAAGAAATACATATCAAACACAAGCTTGCTTAAATACATACTATATATTGGGCATAAGTTACTTGACTCCAACCTTCCACCCAAAAGTGCCTTTGTGTGGAAGTGGTGTGTTAATCTTAGGGAACGTGCCGGTGAATACAATAGTGCGCCCTGGTTACGCCAAAATTTCATTTTCAAGCAAGTCAGTGATTTGCATCACGACACACCGTACTCTTTCATTGTCACAAGATCATCTTTTCGATTTTCTTATTTTAGAATATAGCTTTGAAAATACTTCCTTATATTACAAAAATTGAAAACGAAATTCCATATTTTCATTGCTACTAATTGGGTATTAGTTGAAAGATTGGATGATGTCAAGAAAAAACAATTTCTTGGGAAAAAAAATATTGTTCACGTTTTTCTGGGAGCAGTCCCGGAAATAGACCCCGATCAAAGGTCAATCGTTGTCGGTTTGGGCTGAAATTTTGGGAGTTTGTTCGGGACATATGAAGCTTCATTTTCAACGGTTGGGTTGTTGATAACTGCTCAAGGTTTGGAGTTATGACTTCAATGTTAAGCTGCATTTTTGGAGAGGAAATTTGGGCGTACTACGGAGAATGCACATCTTTGACAATTGAATTAATTCAAGGGAGGTCCTCTCAAAACTAATTTTATTTTGATTATGCTTAACACGTGATTTTAATTCTAATAATCATCTTGGCAAATATATGAGTTGTGATTTATGGCATTACAATATTAGATGCTTATTTTGTCCATTATGTAGTATTTGTTACATGATTATTACACTAGGTGAAAAAAGAAGATTGACACCGACTTAAGGCCACCGGTTTTTAAAAACCGGTGGGAAAAAAGGGGGGAAAATGGGCGGGATTTTGAGGGGAGAGTATTGCCACCGGTTCAAACTGAATCGGTGGGTAAACCATTAATCCCACCGGTTCAAAACCGGTGGCCTTGTTAAATAAAAAAAAAACCGGCCTTTTGTTCCTTAGCTCTCCTTTATATACCCTAACCCTAAATTAGCCCTCATCTTCTCTCTTAGGTGCCTCTATCTTTTCTCTCCTCCTCTCTTCTCTATCCTCCTTCTCTCTCCGACCTTTCTCCCCTCTCTTCTTCTTTCCCCTCTCTACAACCACTTCGTCTCTCTCCTCTAGCAAACCTCATCTGTGTAGATCTTTAATTCTGGTTTCATTACTTATTAATTTCTTCTTTCCCCTCTCTTCTCCGACCTTTCTTCTCTCTTGTCTCATGCCCACCACCGCCACCGCCACTTACCACCGCCGCCACCAAGTCCGAGGTTAGTGCTTGTTATTGGGTTTAATAATTTGAGGTTAGGGGTTCTGGGTTAATTGATTTTTGAATTTTTTTTGGGTTTTTTCGAATTGATTTTGGGATTTTTTGAATTGATTATGGGGTAATTGATTTTGGGTTTTTTTTTAATTGATTTTGGGTTTTTTCGAATTGATTTTGGGGTTAATTGATTTTCGAATTGATTTTGGGGTTTTTTTAAATTGATTTCGGGGTTTTTTCGAATTGATTTTTTGAATTGTTTTGGGGTTTTTTTGAATTGATTTTGGGTTTTTTTTCAATTGATTTTAGGGTAGGGTTTTTGTTGCTTTTGTGGTTGCTTTCGTGGTGGGTTTGGCGTTGGGTAGGGTTTTGGTTTGGTTGTGGGTGCGGTCAGGGGTCGTGGTGGGTTTGGGTGATGGGTCGTGGTTGGTTTCGTTGATGGGTCGTGGTGGGTTGGATGCGGTCTGGGTGAGGGTTTGGGTTGGGGTTGGAGCTGGTGGTGTGAGTGGGGTGACGGTTGGT